GGAGGCATTAGGCTCTGGGGAGGGGGGGGCATTATATAGTTGATTTTGGGTGTGATCCTCGTGGGTGAGAGGGAGAGGCTGGTAGGATGGCTGGGGGTTGGCCATCGTGGTGGTGGTAGAAAGAAAAGATGAGGGGCCACTTAGCCGATGTGACATTTTCAATCTCCCTCCTGAATGTGTACTTTACCCTGCCTTCTTGTCACCCAGCCAACAACCCTTGGTACATACACACGATGCCAACTCGTGTTCACCTTTTCTTTTTTCGTTCTCCTTTCCAGCTTCCCTCAGCAAGGCCTCTGGTTCCCATCTATTGTCAGCATTACTCCACAAGATTCTGCTTTGGGCGACACATGCCGGTGATCCTGATAGCAGTCTCCTGCAAACACAGCGCCGGCCCCTCAATTAAATAGGCGTATTAGTTAGCTATACATCTTTAAGTATGGTAAAACAAATATTCCGGCCCGAAACTCAATTCCATATATCTTATTTGGGATTCAACGAAATCCAATAATATTTGTTTTACAATACTTAAAGAAGTATAGCTAACTAAAAGGCACACTTAATTGATTAGGAGCCAATCAGTATGGCGGTCACTTGCCACCTTTAATAATCCTGTACATATATACGCATTTCCGTGTTATTTCAGCCCTTTTATGCTCATAAAGTCATATTTTGAGCATCCTGCTGTCGTCCTGAAAACCTTTGGATCCTTCTCAAAGAATAACAGTTCATAAGGGCATTCTGACGCTTTAATGGGTGTAGAATGGAAACATTGAAGAACCCTAAATTTCAAATTTAGTGGCGGAGAATCTTCATCTGGACCCGGAATAAACTTTTTCGAGGCCCGGGACTTTTTTTCGACCCGGGATATTTTTCTGGGAGACCCTGGTCAAATTTCATTCATCCAGCGGAACATATTTTGTTCCCGGGAAACAGTCCGACTTGTGGCTATGCTAACCCTAGCCGGATGGGGCGAATTTGGCTGATCGACCTTTCTGCGGTATTCTACTATGCCATTACAACCCATTATTCCACTGGCTGTAATAGCTGTGATTATTGAATTCTTTATAGATGACAGTCACTGTGGCACTGATTCACTGAACCACTGCTCAGTCATTGATCGCTCTTGGCAGGCTCCTGCACACTTTATGTAGGACATGGTCCCAGCTTCCCAGGAGGCAACACAAGCACTCGTGGCACAGTCGCTGCCGAGTCGCCCATCTGCTGCGCAGGAAGCAGCAACTTGAACCTAGTGACTCCCATCAGCTTGTACAATCCGTCAAATGGGGTAACCCTATGTTAAGGTTAAGGTCAGCCACAGAATGTTACGGGCGAGGTAAAATGTTTCTTGGCTAGGTAAAATGTTTCGGGCCAAAAAAGTTCCGGAAATGTATGAGAAGATTTCACGGACAAAGTAAATTTGTTCTCAAGGAAGTAAGTATGTTTTCAGGCCTCTGATATTTCCATCCAAAATAAAATGTTATCCCAGGACTAGATATGTTCACCGTGTGCACTCAGTGGTAAATTCAAAGGAACTACTACAATGTACGGTTACCAAGAGGATACCCCGGATGTTACTCGATTATGGAAAACATACCAAAATAACACGGAAAAGCATATATATGTACAGGATTATTAAAGGTGGCAAGTGACCGCCATAAATCAGAGCTGTCCCCAATCAATTAAGTGTGCCTTTTAGTTAGCTATACTTCTTTAAGTATCTTTACTATAATAAAAAGTGGTCGATAACGAACATCAAAGAATCTTCTAAATCTCACGCCCACGGTCATGCTCATTGCCGAGCCAAGTCGAGAACACGCCGAGCCGAGCGGCGAGATGAGCCAGGGCAGTTGGAACATGCCGCGGTGGGGCCGAGCCGTGGCCGAGCCGGGCCCAAAGAAGCCGGAAGTGTTGACGAGGTAGTTACGGGCCGGAGTGCCGAGTATTTAGACATTGTTTGTACGTCAAATACGGGAGCTTTGCTGCTTGTTTCATACCACGACAACGCGCCAACGGGCTTCGACCTCAACAGATTCGCAGTCAGAGTTCGCCGACTTGCCATTTCTAGTCGACGGTCTACGGTCTACAGCCCCCGTTGGGCACTGGTGGTGCAGCTTGGGCTCCCTACCATTAACCCCCTATCCTTTCCTTGCGCCTCAGGATCCTCCCTTGCTCGCTTGACGTCTCCTCTGGCCACTGTATCGCTGCTCATACACCCTCATTCGCCGCTTCATCCCCTTCCAACGTCAAACTCGAATTTTCTTTAGGGGGAGAGTAGGGATAGGGGACAGGCGAGGGTATGCCGAGGCTGGACTGCCCCGGAGCGACATGGAGGGTACGCGCAGTGACGAGCGACCCCCCTGGGATGCGTAGGATGCACATAGTCAGGGGGAGACAGGGAGGTCGCACCGATGGAATGAAGGACGAGGGGGAGGCAGGTGGTGCTGCGATGGCTGGGATAGGTTCCCATGGGCTATCGCAGTGCCAGTCGAGTGCCGCCGAGCATCCAGGTGGTCAAGGGGACACAAGTACCGAATACAGGCCTGCGCAATGGTGCGCAGGTGGTCGGCTGTCCTCGAACCGATCCTGGTTGGCGAACACGCACCGATGGGATGCCGCTGAACGACCAGGAGGACTGGGGAACACAGACCGAATACATGCCTGCTCGGAGGTGAGCAGGTGGCCATTTACTTCCCCGATTCCATCCTGGGCCGGCGAGGGCATCGGTTGGGACGTACCGGATGGACGGGATTTTCGCAGTGTCCCCACGGTCCACACGGTCGTCTTTGGGCTGCTGCCAACTACGCGGGAGACAGGGACATGGGTCATGACAGGCTTGCGCGATGGCGTCGCAGGTGGGCCTATTCTCTCACCTGGCTTGGGTTGGGAACAGTAGCGATGGGAGGGTGGACGTGCTGGATGGACAGGATATTCGCAGTGTCCCACGGTCCAGACAGCGTCGTTGGATGCCACCAAACGGGACGCAGAGAATGCGGGAAAGACCAAGGCCTGCTCTATGGTGCGCAGGTGGAAATTTATTCCTTCGTTTCCGGCCCGCGTCGACAAGGGCATTACTGGGGATGCGAGGGTAATTTTACAACGTCCCGGGCATGTTCGCGCAAGGACGCAAAGGTCCTTTGCGCGAGGGGGAGTGTTGACGAGGTAGTTACGGGCCGGAGTGCCGAGTATTTAGACATTGTTTGTACGTCAAATACGGGAGCTTTGCTGCTTGTTTCATACCACGACAACGCGCCAACGGGCTTCGACCTCAACAGAAGTTACATGGTACAGGAGGCTGAGAAGAGCCTTGGGACTTTGCACCGAGCAAGAGCCCGAGCGGAGTTTACATCGGATGTTGGAGACCATGTGGGCCCGGCACTTGGGCCGAGGCACAGCGTAGCTGGTGAGCGTGCTGTTGCTGACGGCGGTCAGCTCAACCTCATACCGCTATCATGCCGAGCTTGAAGCCGTCATCACCTCTTCTCCAAGTTATTCTTGCAGATGCTTGGTGGGATTTAAAACCCCAGACGGAGAGATACAGTACTCAGGGTGATATAATTGATAAATGGGACAAAAAAATGAGGTGGGTGGAAATGCAATAGAAATGGGTAGGCTTGGGCTGGAAACAAAAGGCCCAAGAGAAGGGGATGATCCGAAGAATAAGAGAAAAGGTCGGACAATAAGGACGGTCAGATAGGGCCTTGGTTAGTGCAGTCTGATAGCTTGCCGACTCGGGATTTTGTTTGAGAGAACCGGCTCACGGCAAGAGGGAAGAGAGAAGGGATGAGCAGAAAAATGGGAGAAAAGGATCAGAGACCGGGATGAACAGACAAAGGGGGAAACTGTATAATTCCTTCCATAAATTCTTTCTTTTGACTTGCTAACACCCGTGAATTTATTCACGGGGTTAAGCTAGTTGTAAAACAAATATTATTAGATTTTGCTAAGTCCCAAATCAGATATATTAAATTGAGTTTGGGGCCGAAATATTTGTTTTACCATACTTAAAGATGTATAGCTAACTAATATGCCTATTTAATTGAGGGGCCGGCGCTGTGAAATAGCATTGCAGTGTACTCTGCCGCCACAACGGAGCAGTTGCGGAAGGCCCAAATTTGACCCAGTGTCCGGTGCTCTCGGCTTGTCAGCCTGTCAGTCTCACAATAATTTTTCAGCTTGTTTTTCGCTGTGTCAAACGCGTCCCATCAACGTGCTACGAGACCAGTGAACACTGGGCGCGAAAGCATGTCACGTTTGACACCGCTCGAGCCAAGACTGCTAGATATGGGCCCAGGTGAACGCGAAAATTCTTCAATTTTATTCGACCTCTTTGTTCCAATCGCGCTTTTGATTTAATTCCGGGGGCTCAAAAGTTCCGGACTGGGAAAATATTCTTTCACACTATTCAACCCTTGCTGTGCAATGCTACCGGCACTACCGGCACTAACCCGACCGACGCCCCCGACAACCTACCAGATACGCGAAACCCGGCGGTCTTAGTCCACGGCGAGTCGCGTGCGGGACGCCGTCACGTACGCGGGAGGTAGCGTATTCACTCAACTCCTGATCGCATCGGGATGTACTCACAACCAACAGCTTCTTCTAATACCTACATCATCTCGCTCTTCCAACAAGACTTACCTCTCTGCATGATTGTTTAAGCCGCCCTTGTCGGTCATAAAATACCTCGCTTCCGACCCTGTCGACTGGGACGGCGACGATCCGTTACGTGCTGGCAGTGATTGTTTCCACAGGCGGCCAACGGCCGCCGCTGACCGGCGATGTAGGTGCATGTAGGTGTACGCCGCACGGCGTCTTCAAAGGCTACCGTAGCATTACGACATGTATGTATTTTTCCCCATGTTATTTCTGGCAACATCGTGGCCGCGGTAGAAAGAAAAACCATCGGGGTCTGTCGTCAAAAATATATTCATTAATTAATTCACGCTGTACAAGTCCACAGAGCCCACAAATCGACCTCTCACACTGCGTTAACCACCGGGGGCTTAGTGTAGCGGTAACACACGCCAACCAGCAGAAGCAACCAGTACGGTGACGGCCTGGCCAGCTTGAGCTCGAGCTGAGAATTAGCGTGCGGGGCGAGTCGGGGGTTCGATTCCTCCAGTCTCCATCATTTTTAAATTTATTTTTCTGCATTTTGAGAACATCCATACATCTGAGCGGAGAAGTCGACATACGAACATGCCGAAAGGAGAAGACGAGGATGACGCGAATAGTGATTGGATCATGTATTGCTCCCGTCCTTGTGTACCCAAAGGACGCGCACTGACCGTGGTTCCACCACACTCTCACAGAAATTGTCCTGTGCAAGCTCCGAACTACCAATGGCAGAACAGGCTTGATAGTCGTTTTTTTTTTCTAGACGCGTACACAGACGCGTCAACCAAAATATAAAAAAAGATCCAAGAAAACAGCCACACGGAAAGTCTCTTCAAATAATCGAGACTCTCCTTGGGTTTGTGCTGAAGACTTTTGTACACTTTACAACGCCGCCGAACGACCGAGGTTCTCCCGATCGTGGTTCCCATCATGCCGCCATGTCACTGGCATCCGAGTCATCTCCCTTTTCTTCGACCGCCAAATTCACCACCAAAACTTTTGCGCGATGCGAGCGCCATTAACTCTTCTGTCCTTTCTCAAATCCCAGTCGTTCTTCGCTCTCTTCGCTCTTCTCAGCGCGCACCTCGCCGTCAGCCAGTACATAAATGGCCAGACGTTCACAGACGGTCTCGCAATAATTGATAGCCCGAGCCCCTCCAGGTCGGGCTTATATTTCACTCTATTTTCGCTCTGCATAAGTACTGATAGTCGGTCCGCACAGTCCTGGCCATGCCGGGTCGCCCAGTCAGTGATTTTTCATTTTTTCCCCGAAAGCTCCTCACTATATCCGCGCAGTTCCCATCGCCGTAGACGTTTCCGGCGACGGAAAGCTGCAATCCGCGGCCAGCGTCCCCGGCTCGGGACTCTCCACGCGCTTCGACGCGCTGGAGATCTACCTCGTCTCGAAGCAGACGAACATCAACATGACCGTCTCCAATACCTCTGCTTTCCTGACTGGCGAAAGCGGCAGCACCGTCAAACACCTTAACTGGCCTGTACCGACCTGTCTCCCTGCGGGCAATTACAATGTCAGCTGCTCGTTGCCCTTACTTTTTTGGACGCAGCTGACAAGGGATTCGTGTACAGCTCACCTTCTATGAAACCTCGCACTTCAACTCGCAGGTATAGTGAACAACATCTTTTAAGGACGCTGAAACGAATCTATGTATTCCCAGGGGGTCTTCACCATCACGCCGATTCCGGTGCCAATCTCGAACACCAGCCCGCCCGGACAGTGCAACGCTAGTGTCCTCAACCAGCTGCAGAGCCAGCCGCAGGCCGACAACCCACTCACCCAGTCGCCTTTCGCGCCGAATTCTTCCCTACCCGTGTCACCGTCCAAGTCGTCAGCGCCAGCGATAGCCCCTGTCTTCAAATTTACTCCATTCTCTTTGTTTTTGATATTATATTACATCTGTACATAAAGCATCTAGTCCACCGTATGTTTGATTGGAAGCGGCATGCGTGGTTCTCAACGAAAGCTAAGCAATCCCTCTTGATTTCCGCCAGAGCATGCTGGCGTTGTGCTCCTTCCAATACGGCTTTCCGTAGGTGAGCGTTAACTCTGCACCCTTCTTGATCTTTTTCCCTGCGGCCGAATACCCATGCTCAACCTTTTAGTCCTAGCTGAAGTGAAAACACCCACATGCATGAATGACGAGCCGTTTTTCCCCGTTGACTGTGTGGTCTTCTATGTACAGCAAAAATTTGAATTAGCAATAACAATAATGTGAGCTGCGCTAGCATACTAAGCACGAAGCAGTTCGGATTTCCAGGCCCAGAGTCTTGCTTGGAGTCGTTCAGGAAACGTGTGGGGTTTCCCACAGCGCGCGCGTCGACGGTCGTGGTCCCCAGACTAAAGTTCAAGAGTTAAAAAGAATAGTGACGATAGGTCCGAAAGAAAAATCGTACTCGAAGCAGTAATTCAGGCCAGAGTAGGTGTGCACCATCGCGCTGAATGAGCCACTGCGCGTCAGGTTGTATGGAGTAGAAAAGAAGAAGGGACACGCACAGGGGTTCCAGGTTCCCATGCTCGTCGTGAATCAGCTCGCCGACATACTCTGCTCGAGAAAGCGATATGAGATTATTGACCACAGCCACACTAGATACACCCGCACCGCCAATAACGTCATACTTCTCGATATCCTCTGCGGCGAACGCGCCGAGTCCATACTTCGATTGTCGAATCTCCACGCGCTATCCACCGGGACGTGATAAGCCAGGGATAAGCACAGAAGATGGAGGCAACTCGCCTTGAATACCCCGCGCTGGAGGTCCATATTGTGGCACGGGCCCGCGGGGCCCGGATCCCGTCCCTCCTGCGGGTGGTGCACATGCAAATCCCTGCAATAATAATCACCGTGTCAACGAGAGCAGCCAACGAGGATGGTGAACTAGACACACCGTGCATCGCACGCGGTGCACAGCTCGGGGTCACACTCGCGACGTGCGCGTCGGCACGGGCACCTCGAGCCGTATTTGCACTGCGTGTACGTTCCAGTCCGCCAGGGCTTGCCGCAGACTTCGTCACAGCCCTTCCACCGCCGTTCACCTTCCATCCACGCACATGTCAGCCAAGGAATCCGGAAGTGGGGAGTTACGCACAACCAGGCGGGCAACGGCAGTCTCGCTCGCAGTATGTTCTCAGTTTGAAGCAGCCACACATTATCCTCGAGGAGCAGGGCCCAGGGTGGTCGCACGGCTGAACGAATCTGAGGAATTGTTACTACGACGAAACCACGCGGAATTTTTTATTTACAGCTCGTTCGTTTGCGCTTGGGAAACATCAAGAAAAGAGTGGGCGAATTAATCATCGAGTCATGTAAGACACTCACAGAAATTCGTCTTTTTTGTACGGCTCAACCCCTTTTTTCTGCTCTTGCGTTTCTTTTTAGTCTCTGCGGGAATGGGAATAGGTTCCGGTTCCTCTGGAAGCCCAACCTCTATGTCGTCGATGAAGCGCCGGCGGCTAAAAAAAACCTACAGAAATATTATAAGAGAACCGGATGCTTCCAAATTCTACAACCTCACATCCCGGCAACGCAGCTTGCAGAGAACAGCCAAATCACATGGAAGCATGTCTGGATCAAGCTTTAGGATGCCACGGAGAAGTACCAAGGCATCGACAGACACATCGTCATCGTCCTGCGCGTAAAGATGAGGTAGAGTGAGCTGGTGCACGAAGGGCGGCGGCTTACTTCCATGTCGTCTGGATCGACGAGCCGGAAACAATCCTCCCCACAAACATTACCATCTTGCTCGAAAAGCTCTTCACTTGTGAGTCGGGGATCTTTTTCAAGGACCGGTGGTGTATAAAGTTCCCACTCTGGCGAAACTGCAGCCCAATAAACATCTATACACCTCAAAGGAACTGATGGCATACCATGAATTTCACATTCATTGTGTAAACAACTCAAGTTGAAGCAAAAATTCGCACGTCCGTTGTTGACCTGTGCGAATATGTCGTTCGCGGCTGGATATGCCTGTGCAAAATGGGACGGGAGCGGCTCCTTTTGTGAGGAGGGTTGTCCATCACCCCAGATGACGTCGGGCATATCTCTGGGGATGAAAACGATCGGGACCTCTGTGACTATGAAAGAAATACGATAGCTTGCCTTTGGCTCACTTCCCATATGAGCCCGCTCTCGTTGGAAAGACGAAGTGGGCGAACGCCGTTAGCGCCTTCGCCATAATTTTGCATTATGCGCACTATTGCCTCGGGAGAAAGGTGGTGCTCGACGTGGAGGCGACGTACGGTCTCGTATTGAATCACCTCCTCTGCAAGTAAAGTGAATAAGTATGTAGGTGCGGACTGAGTGAAGAGAAATTTGCCGTCAGGATCCAGCTGATCATTTTGCCACTGAACGCCGTCTCCGAACAGATTCAAGTACTCCTGGCGCGGGAAATGTCGGTCCTCGGGGAACGGGAGAAACGGAGCCATCCTGATGTCAATCATGCGCGCCATGAGATTGCGCGATGCGGGGGTGACAAACTGGTACGGCGGGTGTGTGAGCCCGCTGAACTCAGTCGGCTTCAGCACGAGGAGGGGCATGCTCTCCACGGAGCCGATGTTACCATCCTCATCGTAAACCCAGTGATGTACGCAGGGCTCAGGGTTTTCCTCTTCGCTGAGCATTTCTTCAACAGGAGGGATTGCAAATGCATTACGAGGCAGCTCGAATGGGGTCTGCGCCGCACCGCTGGCGTTAGAATCTGAAGGAAAGACTCGAGCCCATGTTTTGGCGATGGCGGCCTGTTTCCAAGCATAGAATTCAGATTTTGTCTCGAGATAGACAGCCCTTGCTGTCTGGATATCCCTGTTGAATTTTTCCTGGTTGTCTCCCATTCAGCCAAGTTTCGTCAAAGAGAGTGTTTGCTTTTGTTTGCTCTTCTCGCATCCTGCACACGCGTAGCCAACGCGCAGCATACCAGCTCGGCTGCCAGCTTGAGCTTGGCCTGTCTCCTGGGGGCAGGCCATCCTACTGTTTTCTTTCTTCCATGTCGACAGACTCGTCCAGCTCGTCTCCGACTTGGTTCGCTCCTACCTCTTCAACGTCGACTAACATCGTCGGCGAAGCCCTTCTGGCATCCGGGAACGAAACCGAGTCGGAATCACCGCCCGTGGTTCCCTGGAGGACTGGCGCAGACACACCGCTTCCTTCCAGAAACATCCCTTATCTTGGGCACACAAATTGGCGCGCGCATCATCTGCCGGAAGTCGACAGACCGCGTGTAAGGAGGCGAATAGGGCGCAGAAAGAGGCGCGTCATCAACGAAGTCGGTATAAGTACGTTCCACCTCCCAGGTCGCATGAATCGAGCTCATTCGCGAGCGTATTGGCAGCACGAGATTTCTTCTTGATAATTTCACTATGCTTCGTCCTTGCCTGCCTTCTCATCGTCTCATTGCGACCCATCGCGCTAGAAATATTGTGGTACATTGACGATTCATACTGACGCACATAAACGACACGGACTTGACAACAACACAGAAGTCAGATGAAGCAGGACC